TAAGATTAATGTTATAAGGAGCGGGGGATGATAGTTATCAATTGGTACCAATGAATCACTGCAGTAAGATATAGTTCTATAGTTCACAGTAGTTCTTAAGTCACTTGTTATAATATCGTCAACGTCGGGACTGTGTAGATGATCTAGCAAACATAAGCATAGGAATTTTCCCTGTGAAAGAGTTTGAGAGAAGAACGAAAACTAGCGATTAAGTGAAAACCAAATATTCACTGATGCAGTCTTAAAACTCTTGACTTCACATCTATGTCACGAAATCTGTAGGTTAGAAGGAATTTTTTAAACCAATCACTCTATTATGACATCGCCATCTTTATAAACATATTGATTTATATAAGTAAGAGAGGCTGTAATTCATTTGGTATTTTGTACATTGAGAAAATAAAGCAGAAGCCTATAATCAGAATATCCAGGACACCTATAAATATCAAATTTCGATGTCGTGACATTTGATCCCAATTTCAAATCAATAAATCCAATTAAAAGTAGTGTAACGGATAGTCAAAGTGTATAGGGTTTTTTTTTGTAAAAAAAGATTTCTTATAATAATAGCTTCTGTTTACGACAAACGTATCTGATAAACGACATATAAAGGAAACTAGAGAGAATGTGCCTTATCAATCATTTACGATTACAGATTTGCGTTGTTTGTATTATTTTTTGCCGTTGCGCTTCTACGATTTTTTACGTTCTACCAGTGCTACCACTACCCGATTCCGAAAATTACACTGCATTTTCGAAGGATAACTATTGTCCTATCGTCTCACAATAGAATTACTAACAGTAGCTAGGTATACTTACCTCAAAGCTCAATCAAACATAAGATAAACCATTCTTGCACAATTAGGTCAGAGGGAGACGTTCCGCGTATTTCAGCGGGAAATGTTTGTAACGGAATGCCTAAATGAACGGTTGCGAAATACAAGCACAATTACAGTCGAATATGTATCGATCAGTCTACCTGAAGTACGACATTTTGATTTTGAACTACTTTTGACCAATCGACAAAATGTAGAGAAGTCGTTTATCACAAACCACCTCGAATTACAGGCGATTTTTCTTCCTAATTAGAGCTGCTGTCTTTTAAAATAAACTTTAGTAATTAATTGCAGCATTTGAAAACCTGGCAATTAGAGTCCTTACGAAAGTTTCGGCGGAATTAATTTATAATAAGCTCTTTGAACAATAGCTGCGAAAATTTATCATCTTTGTATCTCAGTTTCCATTTTTTATCGATTTCTATCTACTGCTCAGGCTTCCGACAGGATAAAAAAATAATGAAATTTTATGCTTATAGTACATTTTTATAAAGTACGGCGTTACAACTGAAAGGCAAATTACTTTTAGCATGGCGAATTCTAGCCTTTATCTCGGTACAGTACTGTAACGTAAATTTAATTACGTAGGGTATATTTATATACAATTAACTAACAATAAATTTATAACAGTGTTAAAATGGATTAATTTATCACAGTAATTATTATTTATCACTTACAATTTATAACATAACACAAGCGTATCGAAGTTGGAACTGAACTGAAATACGCTCTAATCTGCTTATGCTCTGCAATGTTCTAGAAACATATAATTTTTCCCGGAAGCATTACGCACATTCGCTCTTTATCGCCCACTAATAATAATAATAATAATCATCTTTATTTAGGATAAGGAAAAGCCACAAGGGCCATTTATCCCTCCTCTACAAGCTTAATCATATAAATGTAGTTAAAGTTCATTAAATAGTAAGTACATAAGAATATAGATAAGTAGATAACATCAAAGAGAAAGAGTATATATACATTGATTGCAGTGGTATGAGTTATCTTTCATGGTGCCTCCATGTCTCGTACATGTGATTGTTGTATTATTTTGCCTACTATTTGTTTGATGTTTAGTTGCTAATATCTACAGTAACGATGCAAGTGTAGAAACTTGATTATTTTTTTGTCGATCATTTATTTGTCTTATCGTGTATATCTTCCAATTGGCATGCACAAAAGCAATTTACCTACATAAAACAAACAGATATTGATTGCTTGATTAATTATTACGATCAAGTTTATCATAATTTAACAAAGAAATTAAACAATAACATTTTCTCGTGCTATTCAAATGTATCCTAGCTAAAGCACAAATGTAATTAAATGTTTATTAAATGGAGAAGTTCATGCTAGTGAACTACTACACAGTCTAAATTTTCTGGCACCCATTAAAAGAACTACCAGCAAGAAATTATTTTACAGTACTATGCACCAGAACTAATTACGCCATGTTTACACCAGTCGATAAGATTTGCTCAGATGCAAACGAACTTAATATTAACATGTTTAGTGTACCACTTTCGAAGTTCCGGAGAGAACTGGAACATAAATTGTATGGTTAAATTATTAGTAATTTTTGTAATGCATGGATACTGTCCGTCAATATATATTATTAAATGTAATATTTATGTATAACTCAATAACCTAAAATACAAAAATGACCAATATATAAACGTTGCATGCCTAGTTATGTTAACCATGTACTGATCAACTCATATTATAAGCAACTCGCGTGAGGTATGAAATTATTTTAGTATCAATACAGAACGGGTACTCTTTTTCAATAAAAGCCAATAAATGTAAGGGGTAATAGTAGATATAAATATAGTATTACTATCGCGTCACCTTAATTATAATTATTAATGTTCTTATCATAACAGTAACAGTACATAATCCGTACATGCAATAAAACTTTAAGTACGTTCTTCTTTAATTTTTCAAATTTTAGATTTCTTTACCCGATACGTCTTATTTTAAAGGAATATGCTTTAGATTATTTTGTTGGTCCACATCCACCACACAAAGTGTCCCAATGAAAATTTGTACCCCCCTAAAATGTCGATTTTATATCGAGGGGGCCAATTTTGTATGCAAAAATGCTTCTTCCAACTTCAAACCCAGGAGACATTCGTAGTTTTACAAATTTTCGTTGGGGCACCTTGTATAATAGGTACCTACTTATAAACTTATAACAACTTTAAACCTTTAAAAAGAAACTTTATTATAGTAGCATTTCCTGTGTACATATAGAAATACTTCCCAACACAAATAGCTCGACCAACATAAATATAAAAGAGTTATAAATAAGCATAAATTTGAGTAAAAAGTATACTACCAAAAATGATAAAACCAATATATTTTAATTGGCATCATTTATATCGCAAAGTATAAAATGGTCATAAATACTCTTTACGAAATTCAGGAAGCGAGATTTCGAGCGCTCGCAGGTTTTGTAAATGAGTTGTTTCACGCCAAAAATGCTTCAATAAAATCGTTCTAATTTTGAAAATATGTTTTTCAACTGTTGAGGTTTGGAATATGTAAATCAGTTGCGTTTGTCAGTTGCCGAAGACGTTAATGTTTAATTTTTGACAACCTGCAGAAGCCGACATTCATCACGAGAAGTTGGCATTAAATACTAATTTCGGTAAAATAATAGCCATATTATAAGTAAAGGTGGCGCGAAACTACGCATTATTCAACATCGTAGAAATATACAGGGTCGCTGATAAGTCTGGAAACGGTCGATTTATCGGGGAAACTATACCAGATATCGAAAAAGGTTTTGAGGTTCTTCAATGTTTATTAGCTAGTAATAATTTTAATTATACATGGTTGGTCATAATGACGTTAGTATTTATGTAGTACTTATTGGTGAAATTCACTCTTTGCTTTGGTAACATCAGGAGTTCCGCAAGGATCTAAAATTGGTACCTTACTATTATTTTAATCTTCATTAATGATTTGCCATCGTCAGCTTATTATTCGCTGACGATTTAGAGATTTTACATCCATGTATGGTATTGATGATTGCATTTACCTCCAACTCCAAATAAATGACTTACAAATTAATCGATTAAAACCGATATTTTCTTAAAATTCAAGACCTTTAGGTTGTGTAAAACAAAACCTAGTACAAGGTCTCGTAATGTAGCTATATAAAAGCCAAAATTAAATTTTGAAGTAATTGAAGTACATGAAAATTGATTAGAATGATTTTTTAGGTGTAGGTACTACTATACTACTAATCAAGGTACACTCTTAATTTACGGCACAGGAAATGGCAGTCATCGCCATATTATAAAATGGCAGCCATTTCCACGGCCTTCTATCTATCAAAATTTTGTTGCTTCTGCCTTATTTGCTAAATATAATTTTTATAGCCAAAACGGAATTTCCTATTTTCCAATCGTTTCTAAAATCGATTTTCAGGACCATTATAGAGAGGCCTTCTGTAGTTGGTCATGTGCTGAAAGTTTTAAATCTTCGCTTCGGAAAGTGATCGGAGAACTGCTAACAACAAACTATAAATCTGAAACAAACTGACACATCAGGTCCAAAAGGCTGTGTTATACACTGCCTTTTTTGAGCCCCGAAAAAAAAATTGTCTCAGATCGACCCGGAAAAAAAATGTTCTTATAGAATGTGGCCTGTAGAATCCATAATTTCAAACAATTCCAAGATTGGGCTATTAGTTCAAAAGTTACAGCCCTTTCAATTTTCGTTCGAAATTGGTTTCTAGTCTATAACTTTGATTGAGAAGTCCGATCGAAAAAGTACGAATTGATTTGGATTCTACGCACCCAAATTACGCGGAATAAAACAGGATTTAATTTGATACCATTGTCATTAAAATTGACCTAATATTTTTTTATTAAGCCGACAGTATATAACGGAACTACATGTGAATGATTCGACTTAATGGTTGGTGTATCAATTTCCACAAAACAACAGTGGAATTTTGCTAATTGGACTTTAGCAATTAGCTCGTGCAAGTATTGAAATATTACTTAAAATTGTAAACGCAACAAAGCGACCTTACAATGACGTTAGCGTACTTGACATTCTTGCAAAGCAATATCGCAGGAATAATGGTGTACAACGCCATTAATGGAACCAATAAAACGCCGTCGGTAGTGCAACAATAATTATTATTGTAGTTGTATCGCGGCAATTAAAATGAATCACTATGGATTTTTAATTAAAACATAAATTACATTTGAGCGATCGATTAGCGACATTCGTTAATTGTAGTTGACTTGTCGGTTTCAAATCCATTTAATGTTAAGGTAAATTAATGACTTTAATTAATCAAACTCTTGTTATTACTAACAAATCTCTAATGGCCTTATTACAGCTTAATACAAATTGGAAGCTTACATATTACGAAAGGAGAAAATCAATTCTCCATAATCAAATTTTTCTGTTAGGGGTGCGCTAAATTACTTTCCTAAGTTGTAAGAAATTTTCTCGGGGGAATTGCACATCCCTATAACGCCAATGTGAGTTATCGCTTGTGAGACACGTAAAGACATAATGCAGAATTTTTGAGGCTTTATATTTTCAATTTACTTTCAGTAAATATGGATTTTGTGCTGTAAATGCAACCCCTCCTAGATGGTCGATTTCTTTCAGCTCTGCTTTGCAAACGTCCATTTAATGCTTTACTAACTGGGTGAGCTTATGTACACTTTAAAGTTCAATGTCATAATCGTTCATTGCTGATTCGAATTTATCTTCCCAAAAGAATTCAAGAGAATTTGGTTACTAAGCAAACTTCGGTCCACGTGGAAATTGCAAAAGAAAAGATGTGACATAATGCTCTTAAAATTTGTTCAAGTTCGCTTTCGCAACTGCTGTATAGCGTACTCGTACAACTTTGGCGATCTTCCAAATGATCTCATTGCATTATTGACCCTTGATATAACAGTTTTGCAATACGTGTAGGTACTGCAGAAAATCATTGCGGAAATGCGACGTAATAGAATGCATATACCTTTAATACCGATACTAAAACTTTATAGCATATAAAAAGTAAGATGAAAAGTAAACATTTCCATGGAAACAACCTGTCACATTTAAGCGATTCTTCCCTTATCCCTTTCAGATTATTGATTGTTACCCTTGTTTCTATAAAGATCACGAATTATTGGTTTACATCAAATACTGACAGGTCTGCAATCATATTTTTTGTGATGGGTATTTAAATTCTATGGAATATTGTTCTCATATTAGTTTCTGGAAGTCTGAGGCTCCAGTGAATCGGAGATATAGGACGCAAATTTAGTAGGGGTTTTGTTGCAAAGATAGCTGACCTAAAAGTAGCTCTCATAGATTTCCAGTTCACATTATAAAAATACCATTCAGCACAATTCCCATGTGTGGGTTTTTTAAGCCTAGGTTTTCTTGCACTGTGGGAGTACGGCGATCCTTATTTGTTTTTCAAAAAAAGGTATTGTGGTTTTTCCCCAGTTGCACGTTCGAATCTGTTGCCCATGTCAATTAACTCTTTGGTCAATTCCTCAGCACTTTACCGACACCGAACTGTCGGCATAATTATATTTGATAAACCCGTCCGCTATCCGTAATAAATGTAAACTTTTAAGGAATTTTCTGGTATGCCTTGATTTATAATGTTCAATCTTCTGATGTGCACTCATTTTTTGTCACGTGTAGTAATACTTTAAATATGCCATCAAAATTACTTTCGAAAAATCGATTACGGTACAACATAAAGTCTGATGTTCACTAGAATTTGGTCTTTTTAACACCTTGCTCTAAAAACCAAATGTAAGCCATTAATATCGTGGAGGAAGTTTATATTTTTGCATGATTAGAGATTGGCCCACCAGAGCAATTAATCCTAATTTTCTGGTAGTTTTACTTGTCGCGATTTGGTTTCTAACTAATTTAGGGTTGTAAATACCAAAAGTTTTCAGAAAATCATCTAATAATAGTGCGTGTTCCGGAGTTCAGAATTCATGACGTGATTGAACGTAATGTCAATTAATATACCTACGTTGCAAATATATTTCAACGGAATGACAACGAATAAAAGTAGTAGAGAAATTGTAAACATACCACGCGAAACAATTCGTCACGGAATAGTATTGTAATTAACTATTATTTTCCGAATATATTTAAACAAAGTTTAGTGATACGCTTCCATTATCTAGCCACTTTGTACGTAATAAGGAAAAAAATTCTTGTAAAAGTATAACCGCTTATTTCAAACGTTTTTAGTTACTTTTCTTATAGAAACAGATAGGTAGTAAATTGGCTACGGCTCACAATTCACAATAAGAATATACTCTGGAATATACAAATTAGAACAAGGCCAATAAAGCAATCCAGGTAAAAAACATGTAAATTCTCAATCAAGTGCGAAGAGAAGTTGTTTGCAAGAATTGCAAGGTAAAGTGCTATATTGGTATATAGCCAACTTTATGAGAAAAAACATAAAACACTGAGAATAATCACATTTAAAATGAGAAACGATGTATCAATCGTTGTAGGACGGCACAATAAATAAATAAAGCAATTAGTTATTTAGTCATTGCCAACTCCTGGAAGATTATAATAAATAGATCCAGAAGTTACGGTTCATCCATATACCGTGCGTTCAAAGCTGGCATTTCGTTACAAGACATAACAGTTTGCGATTACTTTTGATGCTGCATAACTGCATTATAGAAATTGCTTATATTTTTGTGGATATCTTGCAGCGTGTTATGAACGATTTCCACGTAATGTTTCAGGAGAGTACAAGAGAAGGTGAGCCATTTACCTGGTATTATTTTAAAGAAATAAAGATGGCGTATCTGATGTTGACTGTGTGTTATTTAAATAAAAGAATCTTGAATTATATAAAACCTCCCCCTCTAGTATAATTAATCAATCAAATCTTTTAACCCAGATTTAACTGAAGTCATTGAGTTAACCTGGCCTAAAATCAATAAAGTTCGTTGGTCTTTCGTTATCGTCGTCTGTAGTATTTTTCTTGCGGCACTTTTTAAACTACTTAACTGATTGAAATAAAAGCGAGAACGATTCACAACTTCGACACTCTCATAAAACTGTTGCGCTATTGAAGTGCTAGCTTTAAAAACGTCGTTTTCCTGATCTTATCACCTTTCTAGATAAAAGCTTACGAAAAATGAACTAAACAAAGAGGACAAGGAAGATGGTCGCAGAATCCCGTACTATTTTTCGTGGTTTGTAATTCCGTCCCTCGCGTTTGCTGGATTGCTTTGTTTTATGTCAATTAAAATCGGGTATGGTACCTACATCTATTAAATGTTTTTTTGACATTTCAAACTGTTTCTAAGGCTCATTTAAGCTGGATTGTTATACGTTATCTATAAAATTTATTGGTATAACGTCTTTTATACTATTTACAGAATTCATTTTTCGTACCTAATTTTGTTGACTCTATTATCATGGTTGCTACTTACCCCAGCATTGAGAAACATTTTCCTCTCATGATAAGATATTAATAAAAAACTAATTCGGATAAGAAAAGCTTCTGAGTTATAAAAAATGGAGATAACACGGTGTGCTATAGTGCAATCGTCCTTTAAATTACCTAGTTATCTTAATTGCTATAATTTGAATTTGAGAATTACATATAAACGAGTACCTACAAAATTTGTTCTAAAGATAATGACAACTAAATAAGTAAAGCCCGAAAGTGAATAAAGTTTATCGTATCATTGACAGTTATGTCTATTTAACACTTTAGATTTTTCGATACATTCTCTTTTTTTTATTAATCTAATTAAAGTGTCGTATTTCGCTATCTCCACCATTTCCTTCAACTCCAAGCAAGCCCTTAGTATTGAATATTTAGGCCACTTTCACTTTCAAATAAATTAAATTGCAATGCAAAACAAGAAAGGCAATTGGGAAAACAATAAAACACGGGTAGAAAAGAAATTCCCATTTTCCGTGTACAATACAAGCAAACTGTATCCTGTTCAATGGATGAGTAGTGATTTCGCGATTGTGGGTGGTAAATCTACATGTTATAAATTTGAGTACAAGACTGTTATAAATTCATTATTAATTAATTGTGAATAAACAAATCGCGTAATTACATTTACGTTACAGTATTGTTCTGGGTGTCTTCTAGAGATATATAAGCAACACAATATGGTGGACCACACATCCTGTATCTCCGGTACTAACGTATTTCTCATTGCAAAGAAAATACGTTATCTAAATCCTAGCTATTGATTCTTTAGTTACAGAACAGTACGTACTTGTATTTAAAATTGTTCTATTTGATTGTTAAATTATTCATTTTCAAGCTGAAAGTGGTCACGCAAGCATGAATTTACTGAACAATGATACACATGGCGTGTTTGTCATCTTTCATTTAAAGTTCTCACTAAAAAATGACAGATCCTATTTTGAATAACGACTCAGATTTTAATTACCTTCCCCAACATAATGGCGTGGTGGCGTGCATGCATGAAATACAACCGGTCAAGGGACAAATAGGCACTTTCAAATCATTAACTTTATAGCATTTTTAATTACAATTTTGTTACAATATTTGATTTTCCAATTTGCGAATTTGACTTGCGGCGTGAAATTTACGTGTGGCGGCCGAACTTTTTACTGCAATGCGCTATTGGGCGAAATCGTTTTGATCAGCCTAATTGAGGATGCAATATTATAGTCAAATTAATTTCGGAAGCCTCACACTTCTTGTGCTAAAAAGAGAACGAAGTGATATTTGCAGATCCTGCCGTTTCGAGCGAACAATAAACGCGGCTACTGCAATAATGTGTTCACGTTCTAACCAAATAAACGATTTGACGTCAAAGTATGTTCTAGTGGTGAGAGTTAATGGACATTTCTGGTCGATTTGTTGTATACAATTGAAGGGAAACTAGAGCGATCGGTCCCTGAGTTCCCTTTCCGTTCTTTTTATTATCTCTCTACCCACAAATTGGCTGAATGTTTCCAGCCGGTTTTTTTCTCATAGTTGAATGAGTAAAAAACATGGCACTTTTTAAGCTTCTGGGAACGTATAGATTTATAGAGTGTGAGAGAATACATTTTTTTGGCGAGAAGATGCCAAATGAATATTCCAAATTCCACTTCTATAAAAAAACGCCTTCAATAACGGATACGTTTCTCAATTTCGAGAGTTTTTGAATCGTAGGCACGATATCACAGTAGTCTCCAACACAATAATTTACGAGTCAGGTTGTTCTTGGACCGTGGAAGTGTTCAACCAAAGGAAAATAACTGAAAGACTGGTGAGAGCGAGGGTTAGAGCGTCTTCCTGTGAGGTATCATACGAATTTAGTGTGTACGTATTTAAGATCCTATGGATCACCAATTTCAATTACCTTTTTCCATATTTATCCTACATCTTAAATTTGAAGTGCAAGGATACCCATGGGCGTACGCAGCTTTTGGTCTAGGGAGGGGCAAAAAATAAAATTGGCGAAAAAAAAATGTTTAATGAAACCCAATGAAACATAATATACATTTTTATTTTTAGTAGATAAGTAATAGTTACTAAAAACGAAAAAAGAGAAGGTTTTGAATTAGAAGCCAACAAACAACAGACAATTCTTACAGATATTTTTTAACAAACATAAAACGTAACCTGTGGCCAGGCCAGGGAGGGGCAGCTGCCCCCCCTTGCCCCTCCCTGCGTACGCCCATGAGGATGCCTACTGATAAAAAGCACTTTGGTGCCCAGTTAGATCATGAGTGGTTAAAGTAGCATACTACTCGTCGAAATCTTTTTCTTTATTTTTGGAAAATTTATCTGACAGACAACTTCCGTGAAAACGATTAGTGTAACAACCATCATATCCATAGAAGTTTCCTGTCAGATACATTTAACTGAAATATTAAAGACATTAACCCAATATTTATACTAAGGTTAGATAAGCTATAAATATTGCAATTTAATGCAGAGTCACTGATATAATTTATGTTACTGAGTCAAACTAGTAATGACATTATCTACTTGCGTCTGCAGTTCCGCAAATGGAATTTGTTTAGATCCGCTAGGTACTATAATTGCTTCTTGACAATGACCTCCGTACGCATTTAATTAATTTTACATTCCCAAAATTTGTTAGGATGATTTATTTTTAATTCCAAAATTTTCAGTTTGTTTGTGTTACAATTGTTTATCGTTCAGGGTGTAAAGTTTTCAAACAAGATTGCATAGTAAAGAAGATAAAAGCAAACATTTTTTCCAAATTAACCAAACCTTTTTTTCTCGACGGACATATGTGTCTCTACCCTTTCGATATCGAACTTTTGTGGAACGATTGCCGAAACACAAAACAGCCGCCAAAAGAGAATGGCGCATTCCAAGAACTGGTGTGATTTAAAAAAAAAGAAAAGATGTGCCAGCGAAAGCTGCAGCACAAAAGAATGGATCGTGCTGTAGCGAATATCTCAGACATGGGGGCGTCAGCAGGCGCCATCTAGTCAATAAAGTGAATGAAAGCGGGCGTGACGCATTGTTTCTTTGAAACGGTCCGTGATTTTTCTAGAAACTTCCCGTTTATAAGCAAATTGAAGCGTGTTTAATGGCAGTTCCAACATCGACTTTGGAGTGATTAATAGTTCGCGCTCGTGTTTACATGTTATAAACTGGAGTACAAGTTAGTGATAAATAATAATTGCCTGTTATAAATCAATTGATTTAAAGACTGTCATAAATTCATTATTAATTAATTGTAAATGAATAAACCATGTAGGTAATTAAATTTATTTTACAATACGTAATAATTTTGATGGATTCTTTGTTCAAGTGCTCAGAATCTACTTTCTATACTGCTATAATCTGCTGACGTTGTTGTACGGGTAAGGACTTATTCTCCGTAATATATTACAATTAAAAAGAAGAATGATGGAAAAGCTACACTAATAAAAATAGATTATTTCACGATGTAAAATGTATTACGAAGTATATGGGACCGCGCAAATGCACCTTGTCACTCACCACACGATCAGAAATTTAAGTTACTTATAGAGAATTGCAACTTTGTCCTTGTATTTATCGCCAATTGCAATTACCAATTACATTGAGTTTAATAGCACTTTTATTACATATTGGGCTGCGTTGTAATGTTAGCGATTATTCTGTAATAACGGCATTAAATTATGGAAAAAAGTAATTTCTCTACAATTATTGTTTCTCATTACCTACACTCTAACAAATTGTACCATTATAATACAATGGTAATAACAAGTTTATACCGAGAATGCTCTGGAATCACTTAATCAAGCCATTGTCATTTTTGTATTCTGCATTCATTTTGCTTGCACTACATTATTGAGGTGAAGTAACTGTGTGGAATATAGGCCGTTTCTCTAAAGGTCCGAATTAGAATAAAGATGTCAGACACAACAAACGCTCGTTAATACCGGATACATTTAATATTGTTGTTGATAGCACGAAAATCATCGGTTGCGGTTTTTTAGGTGTGTTGTAATAGTATTATACCATTATATATTGAGGAAGGGTGTCACCTATTATTGTCTGATTAAGCGATGATCTAATGGCACATGCAGGAAATGAGAGAAGCAGGTTTTTCCTCTATTTTGTAGGTCTCCTAAATTTTTCAGTCGATTTAAAAATTAGAACGAACTTTGAAAATCTTACAACTGAAAGTTTAAACCTTTTCCTAAAGAAACTAGAGCCATTTCACCCAGACTCCAAACGCTAGGATTAACAAATAGAATTTGGGGAACTTTATGGAAATTATAAAGAAATGGCGGAAATACACTTTTAAAATGTTGTGAAATTATTCATGGTAATATAGTAATAGGAAACACAAAGTTGTCGAAATGGCTTGTGCTTTGGCAGGTGTTCAAGAGCTATTATGTACTCACCTCTGATTAGCCGAGGTGCTTTTTATGGTTTTTGCATTCGTTTATTCTGAGAAGGGAACTTAAAAAATCCTGCATGTTGCTCTAAAATAATTTGGGGAGCCAAATAATCGCATATTATGAATTTTATATTGAAGTCCCTATGATGCATTACGCTAGGCACTACTCTGTATAAAACGCAACTGATCAACCAAGTGTGGAATTTGGAGCGAAATTTGGAGTAATTCGCTGGAATAAGAGGGGAAACATTTACAGTAAGCTCCTTTTGGGTAAGATAAAGTTTTTTTGTCATATTGAGCTAGTCGGAGGCAATAAATGACCAAAAAATGTGAATACCTAACAGAAAGAGAGAAGGGTTTTTCGTTGAAATTTCAGGTCTCATCCTTTATTGAACGGAATGGAGCTGAACCTAGTTACGAAGGGGGTAGGCACAAGGGGCTATTGGTACATAAGTGCACTTGTACTGAACTTACTATTAATATCGAACCATATTATATCGACGAAAGTAATGATAGATGAATCCTTATGTAGGTAACTTATGTAATGAAAGCTCGTTACAAGGTCTGCCAAATTGATACCCAATCAAAAATTAAGCTCAGGTTGATGATTCTAACAATAATGCAATTATTTTTGCGTCAACTTACATACTTTGATGAAACGTATCGTACAGGGTCTTACAAAAATGACCGTACTACATTAATCATTAACACTGAAATTGGAAAAATTATTTCATCAAAAATCTATCCATAATTATGTAGGCTTACAAAGTGATTATAATACAAATCTTTTTCCACACTCTGCCATTAAAACTAATTAATGGGGTAATTTGAAATGATTATTCGTGAACCTGCATATTTTGTTGATCGCATAGGCGTAAAGAAAGAATGTTAACGGACCTGCATATCTTACCTGTGTGATGTGTCACCAACATACCTATTAATTCTCATAATCTTTTTGTATGTAAAATTTAAGTAGGTAATTCACGTAATAAACATGTCTACAATTACGCCTCTATCATGTATTTCCAAGGTAAATTTAGATAGAAGCGAACCGTGGACTTAATTGCAATTAATATGTGAAATTGTGGTCATTTCCTAATAAACATATGCCACAGTTTGGCTCTACCTTGATGTAATGTTTTAATTGTGGGTACAAATCAGATTAAAGATTACGTACCTCCGGTCTCAATCCCAAACGATGTCCTCTCATGGGCCGCAAATATTGGTCGGAAGTAACGAATAAAACCAGAACAACGGGTATGATACATATTGTTGTAAAAAATATCATGCATCTTCTTATTACTTTCCATGGTGTCGAGGGTTTTCGTTTCGGCTTTCTATAACCCATTATTGGTGCAAGAGCCTTAACAGTTTGTAGGTGCAGTGAGAACTGCTAACGCTATTAATCATTTTATGTTAAAGCCTTTTCGAATTTATTTTTTTATTTTTAATTAAAATTAGTTAACATTACACGTAACTATTAACACTCTCTCGTTTTTTTGGTAACGAAAGTGGCTCGGATTTATTATTATGGAAGACTATGCAAGCGTTTTTAAAATTTATTAAATGTTCCAATGCAGAATTAAATTAGTCACTACATTCAATTCACGTCGAAGCATTATGGGAGCTTTTTGCAATTGAACGTAAAGCTGTAAGGTTAGTTTGCTGTTTCCTCCTGACAGCTACATAGTAATTTTCGGCGAGAGAGTTTCCACCGTACTGTCTGCGCTACTGGGTCGATTCCTGAATATGCTACTCATGCGCGTTTTCCTACCTACTTTTGTTTTTCTACGGGAAATGCTATTATAAGTTACAACAACTATTGCGGTTCGAGTTGTGTATTTGCATATAAATAAACAGGAGTGTCGTATTTATAACACAAGAGTACCGTACCGAGTACCTACAGGAGATGTCTTTTGAACAAATTGGCATTACAATACTTTTCCTCGTGCAATTTAGATAATTATGCTTGATTAAAATTTGCAAGGACTGTCAGCTCACCCCTTGCGTTTCAAAATAATTGAACCTCTGTGAATTATAATGAGGCATGGTAACACTAATAAATTTTCCTCTCGATTTTCTTCTGGACACCGCTCCGTGGATATTAGCGTTAAGACCCTGACTCTTACGTTGTGTATTTTGTTAGTTTTGGAACTTTAAAGCTTTTATAACTCTCGCCAGGAAAGATAGCCGGTCACAGAAAACTTGATCCCGATCTACAATCTCTGTTTTTCGTAAGGTACTAGCGACTTCCGGGATAGTATCGTGTCAATGTTGAACGAAAAGACTTTTTGTTCAACATTAGTACGGTCCTATTCCAGAAGTCTCTCGCATCTTAATAAAAACAAAGATTGTAAATCGACACAAGGTGTGCTGTGACCGGCAATCTTTCCTGGCGAGAGTTATAATAACTTCTCATTAACCAAGTCCTTTTGTTAGAAATAACTGCATAGATACAGAGAAAATGAGAAACCTCATTGACGGTAATGATGTTTACGCGTTAATTAGCAGTTGCGGAAATGAAGTGTTTGCACATTTCAAGACTCAAAGCTTTAGCATACGAGGCGTTTCCCTAATAGAGGGTTGCAGTACACCATATGACCCAGTGGCCCCATTTAACACAGTTAGTGTAATTCACTTTCATTTGGTAACCCAGTCGGGTTCAGTTTTTACTTAGGATATTACAACGAGAAACAACACCCCCCCCCCCCCCAGTTATTAAATCGAAAGCGGTAGGTATTTTACTATAGGACGTATAGATAAAGCTCTCGCGCTCATACAAAACATATACCTGTATAAAAATCGTCCATAGAAATTTAAGTAAAGTGACTTATTTTTACTTATCCTTTTCACTTCTAGGGCGTCCATAGAAAATGTTAATTTGCATGTGTGTTGCTTGGATCCTAAAACTACTGTTGAAAGTTTAACTCTAATAATGTGAAAGGAACATTTCCTGAAGTACAGTGTGGAATCCGAGGTGGAACCCTTGCATCAAAAAAACCTGATCTATACGCTTCCTTTAAAGTTTCAATTTACGAGAGAAATTTTAAAGCTGCTATGGATCCAGGTATTTTTCCAAGCGGAGCAGCAATTAGTCGGTTTTTTTACCGACGCAACTCGGAGGCAGTCCACAAAACTTAGAAAATGTTGGTTTTAATCCTAGTCTTTTACTACTTAATATAAATATCATTAATTCATATAAAACGTATTGTTGTACTTCGTGGACTAAATCAACGTGTCTTGTAATTCATTTAAGGGACTAAAATGTCACTTTTTCTCCCGCAGGGTAAAAGTGACAGTACGCACTGAATTGTCTTTTGATCTAGTAGCCCAATCTTGGAACTGTTTGAAATTATGGATTCTACAGGCCACATTCTATAAGAAAATGTTTTTTCCCGGTCGATCTGAGACAATTTTTTTTTCGGGGCAAAAAAAAGGCAGTGTATAACCTTCCTTTTTTACCAAAAATCGACTGCACCAAAATTTCTCGGGAAAACACTTTTTCTTATTAATTTTGGTGCGTAGAATCCAAAACAATTCGTACTTTTTCGATCAGACTTCTCAATCAAAAGTTATAGACTAGAAACCAATTTCGAAAAGAAAATTCAAAGGGCTGTAACTTTTGAACTAGTAGCCCAATCTTGGAACTGTTTGAAATTATGGATTCTACAGGCCACATTCTATAAGAAAATTTTTTTCCGGGTCGATCTGCGACATTTTTTTTTCGGGGCTCAAAAAAAGGCAGTGTATAACCTTCCTTTTTTACCAAAAATCGACTGCACCAAAATTTCTCGGGAAAACACTTTTTCTTATTAATTTTGGTGCGTAGAATCCAAAACAATTCGTACTTTTTCGATCAGACTTCTCAATCAAAAGTTATAGACTAGAAACCAATTTCGAAAGAAAATTCAAAGGGCTGTAACTTTTGAACTAGTAGCTCAATCTTGGAACTGTTTGAAATTATGGATTCTACAGGCCACATTCTATAAGAAAATGTTTTTTCCCGGTCGATCTGAGACAATTTTTTTTTCGGGGCTCAAAAAAAGGCAGTGTATAACCTTCCTTTTTTACCAAAAATCGACTGCACCAAAATTTATCGGGAAAACACTTTTTCTTATTAATTTTGGTGCGTAGAATCCAAAACAATTCGTACATTTTCGATTAGACTTCTCAATCAAAAGTTATAGACTAGAAACCAATTTCGAAAGAAAATTCAAAAGGCTGTAACTTTTATAATAATAATAATAATAATAATATATTTGCTTGTTATTATACAAGATGTACTTACAATTGTCAAAAATATATAAAGTATAAGTATATAGGTACAAATATAACAGTTGTGTAAAGTAAAAAACATGGGCAATATATGATATGACAAACTACATAGAATACCTACATTAAACAGATTTATCACACTTTATCACAGATGGTACTATTTAAGAATTCTTCATAGTGGTAGAAAGGATTGTTTAGCAAATAACTTTTAATTTTACTTTTGAGACTGAATTCATTAGGTGTGCGCCAATTACATGGCAATTTATTGTATAATTTATAAGAAATGTAAATAGATTGAGTTTTTGACATTCTCTTAAAATGAATATATAAGTTCTCTCTCGTTCTTGTATTGTGACTATGAATTGTAGAACAAGTGGTGCTGTTTAAAATACCATGTTTGTGGACGTGCGCAACTGAATGCAAAATGAAAACACATGGCAAAGTTAAAATTCTTAATTTTACAAAAGACAGTTTGGAGTCCTCTCTGTAATTTTTATTGTCAAGCACTCTGACAACACGTCGTTGGATAGAAAAGATCCTGTTGGCTGCAGGTGCATGTCCCCATAATAATATTCCATATGAAAATAAGCTTTCAAATTGTCCAAAGTAAGCTAACTTTAGGGTTTGCAAAGATACCCTCGTCTTCAAACTCTTTATCAAAAAAACTGTTTTATTTAATTTGGATGCTAATTTTTCTGTGTGAACATGCCACTGCAATTTTGAGTCAATATACACTCCTAGTAATTTTACATTATCACAAGAATCCGTTTCAGGTGAGTTCACAGTTTTCAGAGTATGCCATATCGTTTTGGTTTTATTTTCATTAACTAATAATAAATTTGTTTCAAACCATTTGTGCACTTGAGTGTTTATCTTTTGATCTTTTATTAAAGCTGCTTCCATCGTGCTGTCTGCACTAAAGGTTGTAGAATCGTCGGCGTATAATATAAGATTTTCAGATGGTACATTTAAAAATATGTCGTTTACAAAGATAATAAAGAGAATCGGATCTAATATTGATCCTTGTGGTAGACCTGATGTTATTGGTAATTTACTAGAAAATGTGTTTTGAAATTTCACAACTTGCTGTCTGTTTGTAAGATATGAACGTATTAGACTTAATGAGGTGTAATCAAAATTATATTTTTCGAGCTTCGCTATTAAACGAGTTGTATCAACACAATCAAAAGCTTTCGTGAGGTTCCATAAAGTACTTTTACCATACAATTTATTTTCGAAACACTCCATTACTTGATATATATAATCTATTAGAGCCAAAATGGTAGAACGGTTTTTTCGGAAGCCATATTGTTTGGTATTAAAAATTTCATTTCTTTCAAAATAGTTGACAATTTGATTTTTTAATAAAGATTCAAAAATTTTACTAATTACTGATGTGATTGCTATTGGTCTATAATTTGAAGGATCGGTAGCTAATCCACCTTTATATAATGGAATTACTACAGTCGTTTTTAAGCATTCAGGGTATTGTCCTAATCTTATTGCTCGTTTTATCAAGCTTGTTAATGGAATTGTCAGTTCATTTATGACAGATTTAATAATTTTTGAGTTTAGTCCATCAAAGTCTAAGGAATGGCTGTTTGATAAGGCTGTTTGATCCAGTATAGCCCAATCTTGGAACTTTTTGAAATTATGGATTCTACAGGCCACATTCTATAAGAAAATGTTTTTTCCCGGTCGATCTGAGACAATTTTTGTTTCGGGGCAAAGAAAGGCAGTGTATAACCTTCCTTTTTTCCAAAAAATCGACTGCACCAAAATTTCTCGGGAAAACACTTTTTCTTATTAATTTTGGTGCGTAGAATCCAAAACAATTCGTACCTTTTCGATTAGACTTCTCAATCAAAAGTTGTAGACTAGAAACCAATTTCGAAAGAAAATTCAAAAGAAATGTCGGAAGAGGGTTCCATCAAAGGAAAGATGTGACGCGGCGAGAAGGTCTATCAAAGGGAAGGGTCAAAACTAGGGAATGCAATACCGGGATCGCGGGATCCCGAAATACCGGGATCCCGCAGCATTTCTGCGGGATTAATCCCGCACATAAATGGAGCGGGATCCCGCGGGATTTGCGGGACTGAGGAACTTGTCGACCAAGGGGACGACACTGTTTACTTTGTTAATGAAACGCATAGCGGAGAAGTTATTTTTTAAATAATTGTTTAACTTTTTTCGTTAAAAATGTACTATGATTTTTGAGGCACTTTAGAAGTTCACCTTTTGGGCTTTACAGGTGATTTTTTTGAGTTCTAAGTTAGGCCGAAGGTACTTTTTTGTTGAATTCTGATTGTGATAATTATCGATTTATTTTAATACAGAAGTTAACCGTACAAAATTGCTTTTTTGCCAATTTATTTAAAATTTTGCGGGATCTCGCAAATACCGGGATCCCCCGGGATTAACATCTAACGATCCCGCAAATACCGGGATTGAGATTTTGCTGCGGGAAAGCATTCCCTAATGGCTACCTGTATTGTACATATTTATTCTTGCACCATATTCTACACTTATTATACCGTTTTCCATACATCTTTTTGAAATTGGAAGGCAGCAGGTTTCCTTAGGTATAGCTTGTTCTTCAGAGTTTTAAACGATCGTTTCTACGCCGTAGTTTTAAACTAGAATCTTTAAATCAAACTGACATTTATCATTATACGGTCACAATTTGACATTACAATACAAGGTATACCTATATTGATCCTACAATCAAACAAATTTACTCTTTCAAATTTGCACTGTAACATTGAAATTACTGTAACTAATTACCTACTGAAGTACAAAAAATATCATATATACCACAGAACTAAAGTGGGTCCTAATCCCTCGGATGCTTGTTGTAATCCACCCTCGGGATTAAAACACACACTTTACCTTGGTATCTAATACACTGTTTTATCACAAAAGGATTGTAATAAAAGTAAATATTATTGCGTAATATGCGCGATCTCGATCTCTTTGGCAAAAGAAACGTTCCATGTCAATCGATTATCTGTAGGTATGCGATTAAATACTAAATTAAAGTTTGTTCCAGGACAGCGAAGAACGTTTGTGCGACATTACAATGGGATCTGCCTGCGTCTCTCACTTACAAGACCAACATATTTTGCCGTTACACACAGCATCAACGAGATTCTCAACTATCTCATTCTCTTAAAACTATTGTCACTAGTTTGGAGCAAAGGAAAACTGATACTAAAGGCCACATAGAAAACGAATGGATCAAAACGGCGGAAATTACCAAATTTGCTATTATCGTTATATCCTTTGCCATTCCCGATTTGGTGGATCAATCGAAATTTAAAATCGGTGGCGTTGTATCTTACGAATATAACTCGAAGTGCTTTCAATTAGCTCTCTCCCCCATCGATATTTCAGTTAGCGATCTTACAGATAGCAAATATGGAATAAAAAAATTGGACATACTTACTGGAGACGTCCGAGCGTATCTGACAATCATGTCTTCCAGTAGAGAAACCTCTCTGGCTGTAAAGTGCACTCAAAGTAATACCAATATCGAAAATTTGCTAGAATTCGAGTGTCGTTTTAAAAGGGCTAAGGTCTTATCAAAGTCAATACGCGTCTTTCTGGTCGACGATGTTTGTGATGCGCTTAACGGCGCTTTAATTACGCTCGAGAAGGGGAGAGATTTGTTGCATAATCTTGTAATCTACAGCAGGTAAGGAGCTTAATTGCCATGAGCATTTACTTAATGTGAACACTTTAGGGACGTTAATAGTTGCGATCTTACGCTGCATTACATTTATGCGCACATACCCGATCTTTTGCTCCTTCCTAAAAGTAAGGAACGTGTTTTATTAGAAGAAAACTCTCGAACATCGCAATCGGAAATTGTGCAGCAACAACTCAGGAAGTTTGGTACGGCGATGGAAGCACAGCTGCTGTTAATCCAACAATTTTGCGATGACCAAACGGAAAAAGTGCCTTTAGCTATGCTTACAGAGGGGGATGTTATTGATTTCAATATAAACCTTACAAATTATCAAGCGTTTAGAGATCAACTTTCAGTCTTGGAGCAGGAAGCTGATTTACTATACAATTCATTTAGTAAACCAACGCCATTAATTGACAAAGAAGATTCAGCGTAATTAATAGTGTAGTTCTTCTTGACTAATAAAAGTAATTATTTTTATCTTATTTGAGTTGTTCATCCCGTGGCATTTCAGGACATCTACCCAATACGATGAGGAGTAAGTAGCAATAACTAAGCAATTTCTACAGTCGTGAGTATGTAAACTTGAAGTAGATAGCGCCACCTCATCTATACATTCATTTTCCAGAGCGCCGCATTTAAAACACAATTTTAACCCAATCATGAGTAATTTTTTCTAAGCTTCCTGATGAGTTAAATTACGTTTTTTTTTACTTGTAGGTTTTGGAGTGTTACGTCACTCGATAGAGGAAAAAATTCCAAAACCAATGATACTAAATAAACACTTCATTTGCGAATCGTCCGTGTGTTTTTGTCTTAAAATTTACGATGGATTTCTTATGGCAATAATTCCATACCTTGCTTAAGATTATTTGTGATTGAAACCAAATTCGCGCATTTATTGTCTCATAAGGTCACCAATCAACACGGCTGGGTAATTCTAGTACCCTTTTCCATTGTTGGTACCCACTTCCGAAGTCCCTTTCACCCGAAATTCACGTTTCTTCAGTAAGAATTGAGCGATAATTGCACGCTTCGTATGGGATTTATTACATATAAGGGAAATATTCGAGTTCGAATTACCTACAAAAAAAAAGCTGAAAACGGTGTAGCTATCGCGAAAAATAGTTACGAGACTAATGATCTCATTACTTATCACAGATTAACTACAAATCTGTGCTTATATCAATATAGAATTTTAGAATACAATACGACTCCTTTAAAACCATCGGACTCATTATTAATTAGAAAAAAAAAGAACGTAAAAGTTAGTACAAGATAAAAGAAAGTTGTTATTGATTAGTAATTAGTGGACGGCGTTGTTGTACCTGTGAAGTTAATAAAGTATTTAATTTAAATCAATCATAACGTCATCAAGATAGGTAGGTACCAAACATTCAGGTCTGAGTTGAGAGAATGTGTTAAATCCATGATAGATGAAATGCAATGGGCCCAAAGGATCTCCCTATCGTACAGCACTTTGCGATTCCAATATCTGCTCTTAGACTTGAAAAACTATAAACTGGACCTCCTCCGCACGAGCCAACCCCAGAGTTTTTTGAGTCAGTAGTTCATAAAGCTCAAGAGCGTATTAGGGGCGAAAATATATTATTACCTACGGGATTCCGGAAAGTAGCTCATCATAAGACCACTTGAAGATCTCTCAACTGTTAATAACATTTTGGAAACCGTAAGGCATAGAGATTCGGTTAAATGAGGAAAGAGTTGTCGTTTTAAGAGCTTATTCAAGATATTATGCTTTTGTTTTTTTGATAAAAATTCACAGTTGACTAGATATGAGCGAAAATCAGATTTAGTGATTTTTCTTTTAAATGTTGTAGAATCGTTAGTATTAGAAATACAGAAATATGCAAAGAACAAAAATTGTAGATATTTTCCGCTTAATAAGATACATTTATTCATATTTATTCTTCTTTTATAATTTTCGAGTTATAACGCAAACTTACATTTTTTAAATGGTAATCATAGTTTGCTGTGACATTTTTAAAAAGTGCATTGTTTTCTGTCAATTACGCCCTACATTTGAGTTTGTTCGAGTTTCGAAACTCACACGTGCATCGCTTGTTATCTCAAAAAAATGGCTCAAGGTCTGAAAACACTTTTGCAAAGGACTCCAAAGTGTTGCATACTACTCTTACCAAAGTATTAATTATAAGCAATTAGCTCCGTTCGAGATGTTGCGCAGTATAATTATACTCTCTAATAACCGTACTTGTTACATAACGAAGCTATTTAGTAGTATGACTTGTCCAGCAGGGACCAGGAACTATTCACGTTCGTTGGATAATCGGTTGCATTCATATCCGATTGTGGCGGAAAATCAAACGTTACATTCAATGACATAGTAACTACACTTAATTGCCTCATTTTTTTATCGACATGGATATCAATAAAGGTGAGTATATCTAATATAGATAAACAGTAGTGATATTGCACTCCAACTGTGGTGCACTATTGGAAATCATTTCCAAACTTAGTAAGTACCTGTTTTCTTGCCATGTTTTATAACTGTAATGTACTGTAAACCTGGACCATATTATGTTGACGCAATAATAAAGTCTTTTTTTTTGCATTTTTCTATTGATTTTGAATGATTGAAGCTTTGAAAAGATAGGTAAGGATAAATCATGAGATAAAGTTTTAATGTGATTTTTAGTTACGTTTATGTTTAAAAAATGTGTTTTCTTTTCTTCATTATACAATATGTTTTTTTCTTAAAAGTGAACATACAATGCAATTATCCCTATGTTCACTTTAAAAAAACACATTAACTTAATTGGCGCGTGTTATATTTCTCTATCTTTAAAGTTAAAACATCCGGCCACAAATAAGAAAGTTATTTTATAAGAATAAGCACAAAAATCAGATACAACTGAATACCGAACGATCCTCGAGATTATCGACAGACGAACGGATAGTGGTCACAATAGCGCATTTTTAGCGCATTTCCACAAAAATAAAAAAAAAATGCGCTATTGTGGCCACTTTGTCCGTCCGTCCGTCCGTCCGTCCGTCCGCTAACTTTGCGACGCTACTAGTTTTTTATCTTAAGAGCTATTGTTCTACTTTTTTCGCTATTTGGTTCGTTATGGTGTCGAGTCTTGTACCAAGGAAGGAATTTTTTCTGTACCGCTTACAAAAAAAGTTATTGTAAAAAAAACAAAAAACCGTTTTTTACATGTTCCATAATTTTACACTTTTGCCGTTTATTAACGATCCTAGAGATCGTTTATAATTTTGCATTGCTATCTGTCGCCTGCCGGTTGGTCTCTCCGTCTGTTCCTTTGTCTGTCTGTCCATCTATCTGTCCGTGTGAACGATAACTTTGTTTAGAAATGTTCGATCGCTTTTACATCTCCGTTAGTTATGAACTGAATTGCATGAAATTCAATATGGGCATAGATTTAGCCATATAATACGCAATGCCAAAAGTTGGATCGAATCGATTCAAAATTCACAGTGCCCTTTTCGCATCTCGACCATTTATAAACCGAATTGCAAACTTTTTTACTTATAAAAGTATTTGAATGAAATTTGATACATAGGCACTTGGAATAAAGGAAAATCAAACGCCAATTTCAAAATTTGGTTTTGCGCATGCGCAGTGCCAACTTTTTTATTTATGGAAGAATTTAAACGAAATTTGATACATAGGCACTTGGGATAAAGGAAAATCAAACGCCAATTTCAAAATTTGGTTTTGCGCATGCGCAGTGCCAACTTTTTTATTTATGGAAGAATTTAAACGAAATTTGATACATAGGCACTTCGATAAAGGAAAATCAAACGCCAATTTCAAAATTTGGTTTTGCGCATGCGCAGTGCCAACTTTTTTATTTATGGAAGAATTTAAACGAAATTTGATACATAGGCACTTGGGATAAAGGAAAATCAAACGCCAATTTCAAAATTTGGTTTTGCGCATGCGCAGTGCCAACTTTTTTATTTATGGAAGAATTTAAACGAAATTTGATACATAAGCACTTCGAATAAAGGAAAATCAAACGCCAATTTCAAAATTTGGTTTTGCGCATGCGCAGTGCCAACTTTTTTATTTATGGAAGAATTTAAACGAAATTTGATACATAGGCACTTGGGATAAAGGAAAATCAAACGCCAATTTCAAAATTTGGTTTTGCGCATGCGCAGTGCCAACTTTTTTATTTATGGAAGAATTTAAACGAAATTTGATACATAGGCACTTGGGATAAAGGAAAATCAAACGCCAATTTCAAAATTTGGTTTTGCGCATGCGCAGTGCCAACTTTTTTATTTATGGAAGAATTTAAATGAAATGTGATACATAGGCACTTGGAATAAAGAAAAATCTAGCGCCAGTTTCAAAATTTTATTTTGCGCATGCGCCGTGCCAACGTTTTTATCTATGGAACTATTTAAGTGAAATTTGATACTTAGGCGCTTGGAACAAAGGAAAATCTTAGTTTATTAGTTAGTTATAGTAAATTAGTTTTAAAATTTAGGTTTCCGCATGCGCAGTTCCAACTTTCTTATTTAGAAAAGCATTGAAATGAAATTCTTCTCATAAACTGAAATTGAAGTAGCACGTCAACAATGGATTGCCCATGTGCAACGCTATCTTTCATATTTGTGGCCGGATTTTTACGATTTTAACAGAAGTTGCATCTTACAAATGGGAAATGAATGCAAGTGGAAATGCGCTTTATGTAAATCGTTTACGATTACTTTTTAACTTGTTTTATATGTTGTTAGGTCCCTTGAGAGTAGTTAACACCCAAGTTTGCAACCCTGAAAACCTTGTGCTACCCCCACGGTGCTCGAAAAACTGCGAAATTTTGGCACATATTTCAGTTGTTTAGAAAAGATAACTAAATTTGCTACAATTTCAGCGAAACCTGAGCACGCTATGTCTTTTGGTTGCGAAAATACAGCAAGTCAGAGATGGGCAATTTTCCCGCAGTGCTAGGAAAACTCATCTGTTCAGTAGTTTGAAAGATTAACAAACATCCATGCGTCCATTTCATACTTATAAACTTTCACGTTTATAATATTAAAGGATGATTAGGTTTTCGCTAAATAATAAAAACATTGTGCTCAATAATATATGTATTATTCATGAAGAACAAAAAGTACAAATTTGGCATTTAAGATGCAAGTAAATACAAAAAACAGTAATAAATTAAAACTTTAAATTTACACAAATTAAGAGCTTTAGACTCTCGCCCTTTTGGAAGGACCAGGTTCAACCACTCAAGATCAGTGGGGGGGAGTGGGGGTGGAGAGATAGTGTTTTCTGGAGGTGGAGGCGGGTCGGCATATGGTGTTGGATTGTCCTCATCCTCGTCCTCCTCATCCATAACTATAGGGATGGCGTTATTGCAATTTCGACCGTGGCAAACGGAACATAAGACCCCCGATATTCACACAAAATCCAGTTTCTGGCTTATTGCTGACGTCTTAGTCATTAATCTGATGCTAACTGTGTTATATATTATGTCTCTTTGGGGGATGAGAGGGAGGGCAGATCAATAATTAGGGTTTGTTGTTAAACTTAACTCGACCCTAATAACAACTGTGATCAATTTCCTTGTACCTGTCCGCCTTTGAAATCTGGAACCAGTGTCCCTAAGAGTCCTAAGACGTAGTGAAAGCATTTTTAACAGGCAAATACCTTACAAACTTTATTCCAGAACAAACAGATTTTCGTACTTTTTAGCATTGGGGGAAAATTGCCCATCTTTGACTTGCTGTATTTTCGCAACCAAAAGATATAGCGTGCACAGGTTTCGCTGAAATTGTAGCAAGTTTAGTTATCTTTATTAAAGTACTAGAACACGTACTTGAAAAAACTCTTCGTTAAGGTACATTTTTCTAAACAACTGAAATATGTGCCAAAATTTCGCAGTTTTTCGAGCACCGTTGGTGCACAAGGTTTTCAGGGTTGCAAACTTGGGTGTTAACTACTCTCAAGGGACCTAACAACATATAAAAAAATCGTAGTTACATGCGCGTTTGCAATGTTTGATGTCGATATTGACCGAGCTACCAGTGTATACACTACAAACGAAAAAATTATGTAGGTGCACCAGCATGGCCTGCTTTCTTGCATTTTGTAGGTGTATAATCTATGCGAGTATTTAATGCAAAACCGCGTTTCACTTTGTCTTTTCGTTTACCCCGTGTATTCGTAATTACCATTTTCAGAATGGATCCTTTGAATAAACTCTGACAATGCTTCCTTGAAATAATAGCTTCTCGCGTAACTAATAACCTGCCTACTTTCTCCGACTCTTATTAAAATTACTTCGGGGAAATTAAAGCACGAGTTTCCCCGGTATGTTTTCCTGTTTTGTATTTTCAGCAAACATTTATATACTGGCAAATAATGTAATTAAGTAATTGGCATACGAAAAAGTAAAATAATTCCAGTTATGTAATGCGTAAGTTCGAATCACATCTTTTACCTAACCAAAAATAAATGACGCAAAATGTTAAATAATAGTAGAATATCAACACACAAAACTAATTTGGGAGAGTACACTCTGCAAGCTTAAATTGTATTCGGTCATTTTATTTCCCTAATTTTTGTTAGGTATCCTGTTTTCTTTATAGCCGTGGTGCGCCTTGAGCGCAGCTTAAACAAACACTCCACTTACATTGATTTAAAAAAAAGAGTTAGGGACAATACAGCAGAACTCCATTAAAAAAATTGACGCATATTATTTCATTCTATTTTTTACCACTTTCCATCGTCTCTGCTAAGCTAATGTATGTACTCTAAACATTTCGATTTTGTCGCCGGTCACTAGAGTGGATGAGCCATCATGCGGATAGTGATCGCTACGACCTAATTCAGATAGTAGTGACCCTTAGGCCCCAATCAGCAAATAATATCTGCTTCACACGTCCCAAACTCTTTGGGTCCTCCGAAATGATTTCGATTTTCTAAACGTATGTAAAGTTGCCTAACCTCATTACATACCAACACACAATATGAATTTATCTCAATTACACAGGGTGTTACATGACCGCATGTAAAAAATATTGGGTGATAGAGGGGATCAAGACAAGCACTTTTTCCAAATAAATCGAGGGTCCAACGTGTTTTGTTTGGGAGCCACCTCCAAAGAAGTTGTGAAATTTGGATTATTTCTTTTTTAGTGTTTTTCTCAGCAACCATAAGAGTTACAAAGATTGGTGGCATGCCTTCGATAGGTTTTCGGGTATGCCCTATAATAAGTGGTTACCTGCAGTAAATAAAAGCAACCTCAAATGGATATTTTATCGACTTTTTCCTTTTTACGCCAATGTACAGTAGATTTACTCATACGAGAAACAGAATTTTTAGCGCATTTTTGAAAAAAATACGCTATTATATTCGTTATTGCTGGCAGGCCGGCTGTCCGCGTTAGATCTCCACAACTACAATAGCTAGAGACTTCAAATTTTCACTAAAAGCTTTCTGCTATAGTGTAGATGTGCAGGCACTAGTCTATTTTGAGTTAGATTACTTGTGAGATCGATAATTGAAGAAAATAATTTCGATATGGGTTTCGGAGGTGCTATAATTTTACCGTTAGATAGCGCTACCAGTATAAAAACTTATTATTTACCTTGTGATTTGTTTTACAAAATGAAGACGTACCGTCAATTGAAATTAAATAAAATTAATTATTTAACGCAGCCAAAATTACTCGTGAGATCGATAATTTTAAACTTCGCTAATAAAATACTGACCTGCATTACCAAAAATGCGCTTTAATCATGCATATGCTGATTTACAACTTGTTTATTTCACTACACTACCAAAGTATTCAAGTTTTAACCGCACGCGAGGACAGTCTATAATTCTCGGAAATGCACTTTCTTACAGTAAAAGGGCTAAGAACGCTCGGAGGATTTTCCTTGCAGAAAATTGCGGATTTTTTAAACTCTTCTGTTAGCTCAATTATTAAACTGAAGGTATCCTCGCACATACGTGACATTTTCCACGCCAGACCGCGAGAAACGATGATATTGTCAAACAAGATTGACCCAGTGGGGGTTGTGAAATTCCACTTCAAGAAGACGCAGTCCAGATAATCGACAAACTTTGGGCTCTCTGAATTGGTTTGGTAAAATTCCAAAACCGGAGTTTTACCTAAATTTGCTAATTCTGCGCAGGTCCGTTCTTCATCGGTTACATGAAGCATAAAACACATACAGTTAACCTGAAAGGGTTTCTTAGCCTTACTAACAAAGTAAACTACTTACCCACCTCAAATAATCTTATCAGAAGAAACAATATGCTGAGAGGTATCTCAAATGTTTTACATGAACTAAACATCGTGTTATTTCTCTGTCTATGTGGCAGAAGCATCTTATATACTTTCTTTCACTAATGACGTGATAACATATCACCAACTTACTGTTATTGTCGACTGTTGACCGATTGTATAGTTTTGCGTTCTAAAATTAAAACAAATCAAGCATTAATAAAACAAAAGTATCATGACACAAATGTTTTCCAAATAGAATTAAATGTACCGGCGTGGCCAAATAAACGCGGGATATAGTGCAGGTGTATCGTCTTCGACTCGGATTTTTGTTGCCACCAGCACTTATGTTTCTTGTTAAAATATTACTTAGCAATGTGTTTTTTCGATTTTTTTCGGAAAAATTAGATGCCCTTATGATATTGCGTACGATAATCCCCGACTGAATTTACTATGTTTAAGTTTTGCTTGGGTGTACGATATGATTTACATTACTGCTACTTCTTCAACGAATAAGTGCCGCGTTATCACAAGAATTCTGATTCCAGTAAGTGCTACAGTTAGTCCTTCACACTTAAAGTAATCATGTAATATGGAGTCCGATATAATTTTGGTTGGGATATAAAATGATTTTAATTGTATGGGGTTGGGTTGGGGGGGAGGAGGTGGCGATTTCGAGGGGTCTATAGGCGCAAAATAAGTTGATCCGGTCCTGGCTCTACGTGGGCAAGGTATATAAATACTCGTAGTATACGTTGACTATCCCAATGTAAGTGCCTGAATACACTATGCGTTTTAACCGGTTCCGTTTGACCGGACCGTTTTGAACGGATTACTGCATCCAATGGATTTAAATGCGAGCGGTTTTACACTTATCCGGTTGCGTTCCCGGCGACCGCAGGTTGCTGCGTTTCAGCCGGATGACCGGATGGCGGGATGATATCAAAATCACGAGCATTTGTATGAAGGAGTTTATACTATCCGGTTGTACCGCTGCGGTTATATAATATTTTATAATGTTTGATGTTGAAAAGTTCATCGAATGTGTAATAATTCATCGACCGATTTGGTTGACGTCCGAAATATTGAAGCATTTATTTTCGAACTTGCGTATATTGTTAAAAAAGGTCCAAAACCAATTGCTGTATTCACGCTCTGCAAACAACGTATGTATCCAGTAAAGTAACGACGCTTTTGGGGCTTTTTTAAGCAGTTGACGGCTTCAAGAGCGCAAACCAGCACTACCTTTAACATCATTACACTTGCTAATAAATAAATAACAGGATGCGTGTTCCGATGGTAATGTAGACGCACGCAACCTTCCGGTTTCGCAGGATGCGTTTTGAAAGGATGCGTTTAAAACGCATAGTGTATTCAGGCACTTAGAATAAATATTTGAATACATGAACCGGAGCGTGCAACTTGCTTGATATACTATGTATATTTTAATTCATTAATTGTGATTATTGTTGTTATCCACTAAATTCATCCACCCTGCTTTTAAATAAATGACATTTGGTATGTTACCAACTTTATAAATGATTAGTTTTGTGGGAAATTCAAACTGTCCGCACTACTTTTGGATCACCCAGTACCGAAACAGGTCCTTCGGTTGATTCACCGAGCGGCGATCGTGTGTTCCCCGCCGAAATTTTATTTTGACCGGTGGCTGGTTTACGTTACCTAAATAATTTCTTCCTATTTTTCCACGGTCGGTGGAATTGATCGTTCGTGTGCAAGAGCTCAAAGCTGCTTAGAAACAGAAATATGGATTAGATGTATATTCACAGATTTGGAGAAAAGTATCATATTTCATTCGTTTTAATGGCTTATTAGGTGTACTATATGTATGTACTATTTTTACTTTGCATGTAATTTCTAAAATGTAAAAAACATTTCTGATTACTCGATATTTATAAAATGAGCATTGGGGAGCTATGTTAATTGGTAAAATACCTAAATAACGTCATGTGTAGGTCACCATAAAATAGTGACAATTTTATGGACGACATGAATACATCCAATTATAAGGACTTGTTAGCTGTGTAAATGTTAAGATGCTTGTCATATAAATTCAGTCAATAAAAACGTGGCATGTGCACGTTGCACTGAAAATTATGAACATCTGTTAGTGTGATATGCGTCGAAAGACGATGGTAAAAATATATCTTGTGAGTGTGTGTATTAACTATTAAAATTAAGGTGGCGTTGGATTGAAAGATAATTTAGTGTGCCATTACAAAGTATTGAATATAATCTAGTATAATCTTTATCGTTCAGTTTATAATAAATGTGAAAAATCACCTTGGTTTGGTCAGTCAATCATTATACAGTGAATTTTTTTTAATGCGAACATAGGAGTTTGTATGCAATGTAATTTCCCTATGTTCGATTTTAAAAAAAACACATGAATCTATTGAGTAGTTCAAATGGGTAGTAGATACAATTGACAGCATTTTTAAAAATACCGCCGTCCAATTTAATTACGAAATCGGTTAGGTTATTGCTTAGAATGTCAAGGAGGACACTTCCAACATTTATTGTAATTGTTTGCGCTATTTATTTTCTTATTTTCTTCATTTATATATTGAATAGATCAAATTAGTAGAATACCAGGTGCACATGTGCAATCTTACCGAGGACTCTTCATCATAAAGACTATTAGAGTTGCTGTTCATAGTCACACAAGTTGCGCGTTTTGGGAATGTGAACCGCGCACACCTCATAGATTGATGTTTTTTTTTAATCGAACATAGGGAAATTACATTGCATGCAAACTCCTATGTTCGCATTTAAAAAAAAACTCACTGTATATGCCAAACTAATGTTAAAAATTGTTAACGTTCGGCAATTCATGAATATGTATCCTTAATACGACCCTGTTGTTTTTTACATTTTAAGATTCATTTCTACTATACTCTGTTTTTTAACTAGGAAGACGGATTTAAAAACCTGATTTACACTGAAAATGTCACTAGAATCTAGTAACAAAAATAATAGACTCATTTTATACAGATATGTATTGTGGGTTGCGTGATGTGATTTTCTTTCACATTTGGATAGATTTCATTATTTATGGTTTTGGGTTATTACTTGGTAGGAACTCCTTTATATTATGCATACATCATACTTTTAAAAGCGAATTATAATAAATAGACAATACATTGATAATAGGTAATCATCCTGCATACATTTTTTGGCCTTTGAAACATTATTTTGAATTGTAGTTTTAAATGCTTTATCAGTTGTAATACTACACAATCCACATTACAATTTACAACAAATGTTAAGTTATTGAACAAATTCAGAACAATGGAATTATACTCATATTATTAGACAGCACAGTTCACTGCTTTTATGTATAAGAGATTTAGTCACTGTCTTCCGAGAGTTCACTAGAACTGTCACTGTCCTTCGATCCGAGTGAAATAATTAAGGGTTCTATAAGTGCATCCATTAGGCCATCCAATCTACACATTTTGTTTTCTTCCTTAATAACGTGTTGCACACAATTCCGCCAATCGTCAGAGCTCACATTTGCAACAGCGTTATGACCACCGGAACGTTTCGAAGGGGTAACAATCCCAGTACTTCGATATTCTTTAATTATACGGTATACTGTAGAACGTGCAACACCTTAAATGTGTCATACTTTAATAACCAAATATATACCTACATCATCATTTACGTTACCTGTGGTAGATGCAATCTTCAACACAAGGGTAGCAAAATTCATATCCGGAATATCAGACAACATTTGTTTATAATAAACTGCTTCTCGAAGACTGATAAAATGACCCAAGTTTAAGCGATTACGTTTTTTCAAAGGAGACAAGCTTGCTTTACTGGTACTTGGAGTTGAATCCATCACTAATACCAGTATACTTAGGACGCGAAATATCAACTTTTGTTCTTAAAAGAACTGTTTTTTTTGTTAAAATTTATGCAAATGGAGTCGGAACACGCAAAAACTCAAAAATAAGTACAACAGTTACGGACGAGAATCGCGATTAAATTTGACAGTTAAATCATGTCAATAGCAATTTTACCTGGGTGTAAAACGGGCGCAGCGGGAGCCAATAGAAACTAAGGATTTTTGCGGGAACTTTTAAATCCGTCTTCCTAGTTAAAAAACAGAGTATAGACGGCGCGGCGATCGAGGTTCTTCACCCAAGACATGCGAAAATGAAATGTACGCTATGTGTGTAGGTATTATTTTTACATTCTTATTCATTAAAATAAATTTCTTTATTTCGCCTGAATAATTCTATAAAAATTTAGTCTGCGAAATTTTAAATGAATTCTTGTACTATTTTTGAACATGTTAGCGTTAGGTAAGGATCAAATTTTGACTATGATGATGCTTTCTTGATTTTGTGAAGGTTTTACAAAAGAGCCAAAAAAATGTAAAAAGTTCACTTATTAACCTAAATCAAATTTTGTGTAGATTAAGAAAATTAATAAAAATGAAAGCAAACTATGTATCTCCAGGAGACGTTTATAAAAGCAATCGAACTTTTTTACGCTGAACCAATGTTTTTATTCATTGTTGTCTTCGGTTGTCCCCTACCTACTTTAATAAAAAAAATTAAAAACTTCCAAATTTTAAGCTAATGTTTTATTTTATTTAAACTTAGTACAAATACAATTACTAACAATATATAATAGCACCATTGATTTGCAAACAGGAAGAGTGGTTACAAGAGAAAAGTAAATTATTAAATTGATTGCACTTTAAGCCCCTGAACGTCCCATCACCTTACAGAGAGTTATCCTGTACAAAACTAAGCAAGTCTTGAACGAGAATAGGATTTTACTGAAATTACAAGATTAACAAAAGAACCCAATTCTGCAGTTGCCCACTAGAAACTGTGGATAAGTGAAAAATCGGGTATGAAACTAAAATAAAGTATTAGATTGCATTTATTATAATTAGTGATCTCGGTTATCACAGTATTTAATAATTTATACTGCTAAACTTAAACAAAATTACGCTTATTATTACTAAGTTCGTACTTAATTAATTAAAAGCATTTTTTTTGTCATTTTTCTGAATTCAAATACGTCTTTTTGTAAGGCAGTGTTAGTATTACATGGCATCACTTTTCATAAATAAAACTAATGGCATTACTTAAAATTTAATTATTTATAATTTGCTTCGCTCTCATTGTCGGCAAACCAATCCTGGTTGGTACTCCTAAAACTAGTAGTCATTTCCCTTCTATACTCTTGAGTTACCATTTTCGGTCCTCCTGGGACCCCTGCAACATGACTCGATTCTTGCCACATTGAACTGTGTTGAGCGGATCCTCGGGGAATGTGGTACGGTTGTATTTTCGTACTGCGTTGGGATTTCGGTGTTCCTTCGGGTGAAGTGAACTCACTTGCAGTATCGTAACGAGATGGTGCAACCCAGCGTTCGGTGAATTCGCTCGCAGATCGCGCGAGACTTGGCTGACTTAAGGAGCGTGCCAAAGTAGGATGACCGTAATCAACTTGATCAGAGTCATCGTAATAACGTGACGGTCCGGGATAATAGCTTGAAGCTTCCGAATGATAGTCACTTTGATCTGGACGGCCGAAATCTACTATCATTTCAGACATTGACCTTAGGTCAGCCTCACTTCTATAACTGGATCTTGAACCTCGAGGACCTCGTGGTGGGAGATTTGCATGGGCCATAGGATCATTGGTCAGAGTTCTTACAGAGCTGCCTCCGTCCGAATCGTATTCGTACAGTGTAGGTAAACTACTTCTTCGGCTACGATTATCCCAATCTGACTTTTTACGGAATCTAGATTGGTTCTTAGGCCGGTCTGGTGACAATATACGAATGATAACGTCCCACTTTGGTGGTTCAAATAATCTTTCATATCTGTGATCCATTCGCACACGTTCAAAATCTTCGCGCACTACGGCCTCCGATAACATGGTTCGAAGTGTAGATTCTGTCGTAATAATTTGACGCCATTTGATCCTATCGGCCATGGTTAGTTGCGAATTGAACGATTCCGCATTTTCGATAACCGGGCCATCGTCTTCCGATGGTTGCAGTACGCGTATCAACACATTCCAATTGGGTACTTGAGGATTTTCGCGTGGTATTTTGAACGTTTCGAAGAACGCCTCATTTGAAATCTCATGCTCGGTCGTATGCTGATTGAGACTGCCGACCAGTTCGGGAGAATTTAATGGTAACTTGTTGTCTCTGATTTGATTCTGTGGAGGCAAACTCATTTGGACTCTTTCCATTTTCGGTGTCAGTGTTAATCCCGAAGCAGAAGAAACGTCGGAGAAGTTCTCCCACTCTGGCGGTTCGGGCATTTCGACTGGATAGTTTTTAATGGTGACGTCCCACTTCTGCACGACGGGCTTTGGTCGTGAATGGTACTCCGTTATTAAACGCTTATGACGCTCTATATCTTCGATAGTCTTCTTTTCCGTGATCGTTCTGAGGAAAACATCGTCGACCATATGGGAAGTTATTTCCGGTTTATGTACGACTGCGATGGGTGGTTCCAGTGATCGGGGTTGTTCCAGTTCCATAACGTACCTTTGCTGAGGAACGATGGGGGGTGGGGGTGGTGGCACTGGGGCGACAAACTTCGAATGTGTATTGTCAATCATTTCAGTTAAAGAATGTGTATCTGTCATTTCGGTATTAAGCGATGCTAAAGACCTAGCTGGTGCCATTCTAGGTGCATCTAGTTCGTCGTGCATTTCTTGTTGACGTCTTAGAATCCTGTTAAATGTAGGGGCCGGCTGAATATGTTTTGGCAGTGCGTGTAATTCAGGTACATACGAAAATTGCATTCTTTCAACAACAGGAATGTCCACGCTTCTCACGCTTTCTTCCCTTTGTTCTAAAATAGTCGATAGATTACGTTCTGTGCGCGCTATAGAGCTTTCGGTATCTGAAAGACTGGGAGGAGATGGAGGTGGCGCTTTTTTGACTCGAACTTGTACGTCAAACTTGGGTTGGTCTTTTATCGCCATGGGAAGTCTAGGTGCAGTTACAGGTAAAGCCACGGCATTTTGAATACTTTGTTCTTGCGTATGACCATAACCTTCGCTATAAAAGCTGCTATTATCATGAATATAAGCTCTATTATCAAAACTGCCAGCTGAAGATACAGGAAGGGATCGTGCGTCGCATTCTATCTCAGAATGAGACTCTGAAGGATAATCTGAGGGGAGAGTGTCACTGATTAAAGGACCTTCACTGCCCGATGTACTACCAGGAGCGGGAACTGCTGCATGAGCTCGTGGAATTTTCAATCCTTCAAACATTGAAATATTTCCTACAACATAACCGTGATATTGAAAAGGTAGACTTACCACAATTTTGCAACTTACCCAGCGAACTTCCAGACAATTTTGTTATTTCTGATTCGGTGCCAATTGTTGAGAATGGAACATGACCAATGGCGGGCTCCGTTCGGCGTCGCAAGCAATAATACGAGCAACCAAGCCCCAACAATAAAAGTGACAGAAATAGAATTGCACAGATAATCAACAAAATTTGGAATCCATTCAGTGGAGGTTCAACCACTGGAGCCGCGGTTACTTGCGCGCTAAAACAAAATTCCATTTAAAACTGGAATGCATATCGTAACACTATCAACTTACACATATTCCGGTATAATTGGTAACATCGTAACGGGCGGGGGATATCTGCAAACTATGGTTATAATTTCGTCACCATCCATCTCCAAACCTGGATGGAACCTCACAACGATGTTATTTGTAAACACTCGTTGAGGATCCTAAAGAAATTGGTCTGTAAAAGGCGATTCATTTCTTCAAACTACTTACTTGTTTGGTACCGCATCCTTTAAGGGGTAGCTCTAGTTTGTAACTGGTAGCACCCTTACCAGCAACTTGGCAAGCGGAATTTCGATCGAAATCGGCATAAGCGAGACCGTAAAATTTGTCATTGAATTTGAGCTCGATTTCCATCGATCCAGCGGCACAGTTCAAAGCCGCCCTTGTCCTATTCAAAAAAATTACTGGACTCAAATCGTCCAGCTTCGTAACTTTCCCGTCGAGAGTGGAAAATTGAGGAAGCCCTTCGCCGACATATTCAATATTATTGGCTTGATCGGCGTAATTCGACTGCGACGCCACCAACCTCCAGAAGCAGATAAATGCAATCAGGTAATAAGCCATCTGTAAATAATAAATAATTATTGGTGGATGTTAAGACGAAATTACCGTTAATTTTTAATGTTCTGCAGATACATCCGAGTATCTAACTTTAATTGCTATACCTATAACCTATTAACTACAAACTTAATTTCGGCACGGTTAACTTTACATTAATTGCGATCAACAATGAACTGCAGATAATTAACGCTTTTTAAACGCTCTTTCATCTCGTCTCTTCTTTGTCAAGGTAAAACTGTAAAATGATGAAATCACGGCCAAAAGTGTAAAATTATCTGTTGTACATACATCCTCGTTTTGTATGTGAAATTTTATTGCGCAAATTAATGCCATGAAAGTCGGTGAGTATAACGATAGCATTTTGTATAGCCACTGCATGTTGGTCATAAACGGCCAACGCAAGTTTTGCAGTGATAAAATTTATGGTAGAAACAAACAATATAATTATAATAACGGCTTGTTGAATCCGCAATTAGTTTAAAGGAGCTGAATTTTCAAACTGTACAAGACATTTTTGTAATTTAATTTTACGTGACCCACTCTTGTCTTTCTGAATTAGAAACATTATGATTAATTACTTCAACTTGTTTCGTAAAATGCCGTAGTCTCATCCACTGCCTAAAGTTTGTTTGCTTTTGCTAACAATTTCGTTCTAAATTTTTCGCATTCTTGCGAGTTTCGGCATTTGGTCTCAAGATTGTGATGCTGTCGCGGAATTATCATAGATCAAAACGATACGCCTTTTGAGGAAGGCAAGATGCAATAAAGATATTACAATGTTTACGAGCCAGGCCACTTTTTAATTAAATAGCAACGGCACTTCGACGTCCAGGTGTACCACCAACTAATTAGGCGTTATGCGGTTACTTATGCAAAATTTTAATACACAACAAAAAATTACCAACATTATTTAAACTTTATTGAGGAACTCGATCACCAAGCACAAGATCGAAAGATCAGATGTAGTTTATTTTTATTATCGTTGTGTGATTGTGGTTAGAACTGTTAGAAGAAATTTGCCTTTTCGCCAGGAAATGTTAACCCACAAATGAAGTTTTAGAATCACTATGTTTAAGTAATTAATTTTTGGAATACTAACAACTAAAATCTATGATTGTTATTGTTACGTCTTTTATTATTTCGATAAATGTATTTCAAAATTAATGAAGTATCTTGGAGAGTTAGAAGGGAGTTTGGAAATACCATAGCCGATTGTGACAAAAAATAGGTACTTAATGTGGGACACTACACCTTACACGCGTGTACGTGGGGGCTTAGAATTTTAAAATATACAGAGCATTCAAACTTTTAAGTTGGCAATATTGCCAAGACCGTTATTATAAAAGATACTAGGTCGGTTAAATTAGACAACTAGTGGGTTTTTACGCTGACAGTCGCATTCTCAAAATATCCACAACGCATTTTTAGCGCATTTCCACAAAAATAACAAGTTAAAAAGTAATCGTAAACGATTTACATAAAGCGCATTTCCACTTGCATTCATTTCCCATTTGTAAGATGCAACTTCTGTTAAAATCGTAAAAATCCGGCCACAAATATGAAAGATAGCGTTGCACATGGGCAATCCATTTTTGACGTGCTACTTCAATTTCATTTATGAGAAGAATTTCATTTCAATACTTTTCTAAATAAGAAAGTTGGAACTGCGCATGGGCAAACCTAAATTTTGGAACTAATGTTAGATTTTCCTTTGTTCCAAGCGCCTAAGTATCAAATTTCACTTAAATGCTTCCATAGATAAAAAAGTTGGCACTGCGCATGCGCAAAATAAAATTTTTAAACAGGCGCTAGATTTTCCTTTATTCCAAGTGCCTATGTATCACATTTCATTTAAATTCTTCCATAAATCAAAAATTTGGCACTGCGCATGCGCAAAACCAAATTTTGAAACTGGCGTTTGATTTTCCTTTATGTGCCTATGTATCAAATTTCATTTAAATTCTTCCATAAACAAAAAAGTTGGCACTGCGCATGCGCATAACCAAATTTTGAAATTGGCGTTTGATTTTCCTTTATTCCAAGTGCCTATGTATCAAATTTCATTCAAATACTTTTATAAGTAAAAAAGTTTGCAATTCGGTTTATAAATGGTCGAGGTACCTACAGACCTACACTATACCTTGCACTATACACACAAAACTTGATGTTATACTTCCTATGAACCATAACAGATTTGCTTCTGGGCCTTGACTGCACTCAAACGAGTGGCATGGAAAAACTCACTTTTCGAGAAAAAGGCGGCGACCATTAACACTTCAACCTTTGGCAGACTATCTAACTGCCCCTTTACGAACCAGTCAGAACTCAGTTTATGGCAGATTGCCATAATAAGTCGAATTGAACTCCTATCAGTGTCATGCACTAATATAACTCCCGATCGGCAACCCGCATAGTGACGTAAGCGACGCTCGGCCAATATCGGCATGTCGTCGGTTGCATGACAAAATTTGAAAGTTTTACGATATTATATGTTGTTTCCTGACATGTTGCAATTAGAAATAAAAGTTTTGTACTCGGTTTTGTATATGAGATGTTTAATTACAGGTTATAAACTTTACAGTAAGACACAAAAAAGTTACAATATTTTTTTTCAGGAAGACCCTATTGTTTACAGCGATACAAGCGTGTCTAGTTCGAATTGTTCTGTGAGTAATTGTCCCGGCTTTCATGTCTCGCGGACGACGGACTTGGCGTATTTGCATTCGACGAATCCGACACATTTGTTTTTCGCGAATAATAAAATGTTTGGACGCAATTATTGCTGTAGATGTCTGTTCACGCACCTCCTATTTACGCGCATTGTATTCTTCAACAATTTTAACACACAAAACTTTGGGTTTTGGTAAATCTTCGAGTGATGCTATCGGAAAACTATATGCTTTAATAACATTCATATAATTGCTATGGTCCATTTGGTATTAGTATTCCGGTGTCTAATTAATCCCACTAAATACAGCTACACTTTTTTTACCTCACGCCGTCGATTAATTATAAACAATTCTCTAAAACAAACTGCAACGCGTTATTGTTGACGTGCTGAATAAGAATGAACAGAATAAGGTACGGCAACGGTTAAACGATTCTAGGTCGTATCGCTTACGTTAAAGAATGATAATTGAGGTGAATTTCGCTTACATCCAGTTTTTGTTTACAGTAATGTTGTTTAGGCCTACCTGATGCCAATCAAACTGCAGTTCTAAAAACTGTATGCAAGCGAAATTCACTTCAAAAAAATTCTTTGACGTAAGCGATACGACCTAGAATCGCTTAACCGTTGTGGTACTTTATTTTGTTCATTCTTATTCAGCACGTCAACAATAACGCGTTATAGTTAGTTTTAGAGAACTGTTTATGTTTAATACGCGATTTGAGGTAAAAAAAGTTAAAGCTGCATTTAGTGGGTTTAATTACATATCGGAATAGTAATAACAAATGGACTATAACTAATAAATTGCCATTAATATCTACTTCCAACTCACTCAATTTGTCGACAACATCGAAAAAATGGCGACGGTGGCTGTTCAGATCTTGTCCCTCCATCAACCGTCGCAACTTTACCTTTCGCGCGGGGCCTTTAGATTGATTGAAGTATTGTGCAGTTTCATCCATACGTTGTGTGATATCTCGCATCACTTGATTTGTTTCAGCTCACTGGGAGAAATATATAATATAATATCTGATTTTGCTTTTGAATCATTCTTTTTCCAAGCGACTAAACTGTCATCACCTGCTGCGGGACATTTACAAGTAAGTACCATTTACGAAAAATTATTTGTGGTCGCGCTTAATTCACTTTTCCTGTTCTAAAAATAATGTTTGTAGACCATTAACTACTTCGACGTCTACATTTATGGTCGCATTTGCAAGTGGTCACAGCAATAAACTTGTTCATTTGATCTCAAGGAAGACCGTATTGCTTTTTCTTGAACGAAATTGATCAGTATATAACGAGTGCTGATAGACAAAGCTGCACGTGATGACAAAAAAAAGGCGTTACATTGATGCCTTGGTTTAATTGTAAAAATGGATTCGCTATTAAACATTTTAGGTATAAAGGTGAAATATAACGAAAAATGAGAGCTTATTCGAAGTACCTAATCTTTCATTTATGAACAGGATTTCATTCATTGAAAAATAAAGCCGAACAATGACTGGCAACTCATTGTTTGCTGAGAATCCAATAAAGGATAGTGATTTTTGTGTTTTATGTGTACATTTTGTGTGATATAAATATCTACGCTGCTTCACATCTAATAGTGACTGAATTTTCAAATAAAAATTTAAATTAAATCCCAACCGATTTGGTAGTCGCTCAAGAGAAAAGATCTGAAACAACGAGGCTGGAAACTTTCATTTCACGGTGCGAAATGGTTGCAATTATTTGATTTTTAGCAGTGGCGGAAAGGCATTCTTTCGATCTTGAATTGCCCAGTAATTATATCAGGTATTATTGGAACGGATAAAATACGGTTACAGCTGGATGCAGTGGTTCGTTTAATAATTGCAACGCAGCGAAAATTGTGGAGAATGAGAGAGAAATTGCAGCCTTTTATTTAGCAAGCCAAAAGCAATTAGTTGCAAAGTACTTCTCCACAGCCTATTTACTACTTGTAACCATTGATTATTATTAGGTATTTTATGGAACTCCAGTTTTTATTGACGTCGTGTACGGTGTACGTACGGAATTCGTTAGCTATAGGAATACACGCCTTACGGATCAGTTTGAGGGTGGTATTTTTTGTGTTTCGTATATCAAATTCTCAATTTGTTAGTCATTACAAAGAAGTCGCAAACGCTTTTCGGCCTGTAACTTAACGTAGTCCTCTCCAATTCATAATTTCGGCACACTTTTTCTCAGAATCCCTTCGTGGTGGCTTGGGAAATTGGAATTAAGCATGAATTCATACTATGAGAGGTACATTAGTTTTTTCAGATAAAATTTAATTAGTTTGTTTCATAGTAGAAGCTTCATTTCCGAATAC